TATTTATGGTATCAAGCACTTCAGACACTGTCATCTGAATGATATGCATTCCCAGATGAATCTGTGAAGAAATATCACCAAGAAGTGTGTGTGTGAAATTCGAAATGACCATTTCATACATGGTATTACCAGTTGGCTCAAGAAGCTAGGCAGAAATCGGGTGATTTCGACTGATTCAGCTCTGTGAGGTGAGTGAAACCGTGTCAACCATTGAAGAGGTAGGGGTGGAAGGAGAAAAACCGCCATCCAGTGTCCACACCACTTCCATCTGGCTAGCAACCAGTACTGGTTGATACCCAGTCGTATGCAAGTACTCATCTCGACCAATTAGTAGTATATAATTTCATGCAAGTATGCTTGCTTTCTTAATTACTTATTATGGTATCCAGCAAATTACATATATTGTGGTCTGAATAATTTCGGTTTTCCGATGAAACTGCGGTGAAGTTTCACCTCAAATTGTGTAAACTAAGAATTAACTTGTAAATCACGAATCCGATTTAAAAAACCGCCAGATGGGGACATTGTTCTACCACAATGAGAAACTGTTCAAAAGAAGGACTTAATGATGAACTCATCAATCAATATATAAGAGTTTTTACTGGAAAATGGATATCCTTCAAAATTTGCTGATCACCACAACAGAACACTAAATATTACAGAAGCAAATTTAACAGAGCTGCGATGGAACCAGTCTTCCTAAATCTTGGAGTCAAATTTGATGACGTATCTGGAAGAATTCAATGTTAGAATAAGTGGTACTGTCAAGCGAACTTATCCAGACGCTAAAATGGTTATTTTTCACATAATAATATATATAAGGTTGACAAATCGCCTTGAAATGTTGTGGTGAGAGCTGGCTGCGAACAAGCCAAAACTGTAAACTCCAATTTACATCAGTGGTACGTCCGGAATCAGAGTCATGAAAAAAACGATAACAGAGCTTAATCTTGAAGGACTCACTAACCAATCACAGTGGACTTAACGTGTGCAAATATGATTCACAGAAATATGGTTTAACTTTCTGAGAAACGGCCACGAGCAGTAAAGAATAACCTTCAGCAGGAAAACAACCAATCAGAAGACGTTGCTTCTCTGCTAACAATAATGTACATAAAAATCTATAAATATCACCTGATTTTCTCAATAAACGATCTGTCAACTGGCCCTTGTCTTTTGTCGTTACATGTGACCTCTGAATGCAGATGTCAATTTGTAGGTACAGACAAAGACATTGGAAGAATAGAAAGAAAGGATACGTGTCTGTCTGTCTATCTGAACACATTTTACGAATACTGGGAACTAGTCATACCTTTCAGTATTATTTTTAACACTAAATATTATAAATGTATTACCATTTATTTTTGATTTACTTAGACAGGAGTTAAAAGCTTCCATTATTTTATTTGATACATTATATAGGAAAATATTTAAGGTGAAGTAGTATTAGTGTACTTTCTTCAATTTTGATTTGGAAAATGTCTCCTTCATTTTATTATTTGGTAAAAGTTTGAAAAGTTTTGAAAAGTTCTAAAAATGTTACAACTAATGGAACTTGTGAATACTATGCAAATTTCAAAAGTTACAACACAACGTTACAAAGAGGTTTCTTATGACAAATATACATTTAACAAAAAACAAACAAACTTTTACTTCAAATTAGATCACGAAACGATTTCAGTTAGAGAACCGTTGAAAACCAAGGAGTACTGGACAGTTGTTTCATTCTAGTTCGAAACTCTTCATCAGGTCAGGTGTGATGACAAATACTCACCAAAATGACATGAACTTTAATTGGTGGATGGTGGCTAGCAGCGGAATCCAGAATGCGCATTTCGTCCTATTAGGGACTCGTCACCTGGATGTACCTGCATTTCTCAGTGAGTGATGGTGTTCCCACCGAGGCTCAAACCCAGTGCCCATAGTTCCAAATGTGGCCCAAGTGGTCTAGTGGATTACGCTTTGGCGTTTGAAACTATGAGCAATGGGTTCGAGCCTCGGTGGGAACATCATCACTCACTGAGAATTGCAGGTACATCCAGATGACAAGCCCCAAAGAGGACGAAATGCGCATCCTGGATTCCATTGGCTAGTCACCATCCACCAATTAAATACTAATGGAATGCCTAGACATCGTCGAAGCGTCTGCAGAAGAAGCCGACATGTCAACCTGAGAGCGAGCACTTCGGTCCAATCAATCGAGGGGAATATCTAAAATTCAACTAAAATGGCATGAACTGTTGATTGCGTCATATGTCGTAAATTTGCAGAAATTACGATTCATGGACCGGTCATAGTATATGATCTTCAGTGGGATGACGGGTGCGTACAAGTGAATAATCTCAAACTAGAACGGAACGTCTGTTCTATTACTCCTTGAATTTCAATGGTACTCTAAGTAAAGTCATTTTATTGGCCTAACTTAAAATCGATCGAATCCCTTCAAAGTAAAGGCTTGTAAAACTCCAGTGTTGAAGCTTAATTTGAACTATCAAAATGTTATTTTATCAAGAGATGACTTGCAAAACAGTTATACTGACTGAAGTTCCAAAATAGAACATTACACAAGAGTGCCGCAGTTTAAGCAGCTAAACTTCAAAAAAGTACATATAGAGAGGTAGAGACAAGAAATGCAAAGAAGCTACAAATACACAAGGGAAGGAATAGTGAAGATTTATGGAATGTCGAAGACTAAAAGCAATGAATATATCTGTGCCAATGACATCGATTCTGAACCATGTCACCAACAGTCTTCTCAATGCCTAGAAGACTCCAACCAGACAGCCTACACCTCCTTTACATGGCTTCAACCAAAAGTTACAGACATCAAGGATTGATGACATATTTTAGCATGACTATCAACAACTCTTCTCCAACCTAATACTATATATCAGCACATAATAATGATAAATAATCACAAACAATAAAATACAACATGCATTTTCAGCGTATTGATGAGAATCTGGATGGTGGTAGAATTTGAAGGATCAGGCTTTCATTTACCATTGTGGCTACATCAGTTGAATGAAATCCTCTGTGAGTGAAATGAAATCATGACTGTTTTAATAAGGTGGTCATTTATAGATGGTGAATGCTCTCAATTGCGCTTACTGTAGTTCACATGCATAGACAAAATTATGTGAAGTCGTCGGCATTTAAATGACATAGACCTAAGTTCACTTGAAATTTCATCTTCTAAAGATAACAATCTATAATGAATAGCCATAATGATGTTTAGCTTTTGTTTGAAAATCGTTTCGTTTGGTATGAGGCATACTTTACATGGAGGAGAAACTACAAGATTTCGATGTTGGATGAATTTGTAGCGATTCGATAAGATACGAAATAAGAGTAGAATTTTTCAAAGACGTGAATATGATGGTGGAGAGTAAATACGTTTATATCTCGTCGGCTTGGTGTAAGTGATTGATTATCCCGATATACAAGAAGAGAGACAAGTTTTCCTGTGATAATCACAGGGGGATTACCTTGACTAATATGTTATCTAAAGTTCTAGGCTCAATAATAATGCGTAGACTAAGCGGTCCACGGGAGGAACAAACACGAGAGAACTAAGCAGGCTCGAACTCACACAGCCAGGTGAGAGCATACGGCGAGTTGTCATCTGGAGTGGTGAGGACCAATTGTGTCCGTCAGGGATACCCACTATCACCATTTCTATTCAATTTCATCATAGAAGTACCAATGGACTAAACAGTAACTCACTTCAGAGACTCGGGGATCGGCTTGTTACCAGGGAAAAATCTCGTTGACTTAGAATATACAGATGATATAGTCCTTCTCGGTGAAGGTGCTGATAAAATAGAGCAGAGTCTTCTGAACACTTTGAGCTGCAATCTGTAAGTGTTTGACATGCGATTCGCCCCCACCAAATGTAAGATGATGCTACAGGACTGGACCGGACTACATCGAATTAATCCTAGCCTAAAGATAAAACTGTAGCAAATCTGAACTTACCGGATGACTTACGTCTAACGTCACAAAAATTCGAAAACTAACAGGTGAGAACCAACAAGTTGGTCAAAGAAACAGGCAGCAAAGACAGGACTTCAAGTGAATACAGAGAAGACGGAGGTGATGCACATAACCAAACAACAACAACAACAAAGAGCATCAATCACTATCAGCGGGTGAAATTTGAAAGAGCTCACTTCCTTCACTTATCTGGGAGGCATCATTTCAACTACAGGCAGTCGGCATAGATGAAGGTGTCAAAATGAGAGTGAGAAAGGCAAGATAGACTTTTATCACTCTGAAATCAGATTGAAAATCTTCCGCACTCAGTCAGCATAAACAAGGAAATTCACATTTTCAACGCCAATGTTAAGTCAATCAGTTCTTCTACATGGCTAAGAAATGTGCAATGCGCGTCACAAAACCATTTCAAACGGTCTGTAGACTTTTATCAATAGCTGCTTTCCCTGGCTGCATATCGAAGATCAAGTGGCTAGCCAAAAAGAATTGGAAACAACAAACGCTGAGAACGAACCAACCACGAACCTGTTGCCCAAAAAATATGTCCAAGAGTGACATAGAGGAGATGAGAGACTATGGGCGATCGTATGACCTGCTCAATAGGACCACAGAGAATAGGACAAAGTGGAGGTATGCTGTTGAAGCTGTACGTTCTACTCGGAACCCAAAGGAATAATAATAATGAGGTTTAGGAGTGAGTCGGCCGGGAATCGAACCCGGTACCACGTGGGCACGGTTGGAGAACATTTTATTACTAAACCATCAACGCACATAAAGCAATATAATTCTCAGATACTCCTTTTAGTAACAGACACCATCACAGTTAGCAATCAGATCCTATAATAAACGAAAGCTCTCCACGTGTAAGTCACCATTTTGAACGTATCATATGCTGTATAGTATTTTTAATCCTGACTGACATAAATATACTTAAATATAAAAAGTAATGATGATGATAATATATTTTTAAAGCAGAATCCAGAGAACCTAAATGAAATAATTACCTTTTTACTGAATGATGATTGAATAGATTCATTTGAAGGATTAGGGCATGTAAACGGTTTGTACTTCAAGTGTGAATGAAAATCGCCATGTAGCCTTTACAGTAAGTGGAAAATAATAAATAAAAGAAAAAAGAGATAAACGATTAATTGTACACTAACAGTATAAAAAGCCAATCAAGTTTACATCTGATTAGACAGAATAATAATATATCAAGAGCATTTTTCGCTCACATTTTAAGAGACAAAATCGACAACATTGACAAACCAACATAGAAAAATTAACCTAATGCTTCACTGATGATGACTGCAGGATGGAGTTGTCTGAAGCTGTGCTGGGAAGTCATGATTAATGGGATCCATCAAGTTGGACATGAGAACAGATAGCTCACCGATGATATTGGTTGGAGGTCACGCTATATAATATATCGAACTGACACAAGTTGGAATTGATGGACAATTGGATTCCGTCCCAACGGCTGGATGTTATGCTAGTCCGACTTGTAACCTGATTACCCTGGCTTCGATCCCCAGTGGGACTATGGGTGCATGCAAATGATGAGTCTCAAATAAGAGCAAAATAGCTGTGCAGTAATATCTAGTCTGCAATAGTTATTTCGTGATCGAAATTGAAATTAATCAAATCCTTGTAAATCAGCACTTGGAAATACTCTCACTCACTTATCATTGAACTTTGCTCCTTTAGTGAAAGTAAGAGGAGATTGAGAAGTGGTCGCGCTATGTGATGTCTATCTGGATTCAACATAGAACTTGGCACCGAAGTGTGACAGTTCGAGTTGCCACGTTCCAAATATTACACAAAGGTAGACAAGAAGATGAGTGAAGAGAATCAATAGTTTGACAAGTATAAGAGTGAAGCAGAATGGGTAATGGTAGAAAGGAATATGAAAGATTACAGAGACTGAATACATCTGCGCTGGCCATTGACAACAATTTTGAGCCATGTCACCTATTGTCTCCAACCATTGATTCCTAGAGTCCCGATGGCCCCGGCTATGTCATGAATTGATAGAAGTTATAATTCATGGGCCATTAGATCGGGTCCCAGTGGATTAATGGTCTACGAGCTCGTCCTGTAGCTGGAAGGCCCTGGGGTTCGAACCCCGGTGGGTGCGTGCTGTGAGGAATCCCAAACTAGACGGACGGAACAGCTATGCAGTACTCCCAAGTATTCCAATGGTTCTCTAACTGATATCAGCTCATGACGAAACCCTGCGACCGATCAAACACAATCCCTACAAAAACCAATACCTGAAAAGTAATAACTATCTAAGGTCTGTTGGAATTCTCTTCTCATCCAAAATTCATACGCATCTTAGCTTTAAACAACTATTTGTTATGCATAACATATAACAAACATTATGATGAACAAACATTAACAGCATATAATAGCTAACTAATACATCTACTGCGTGATGCGATATACTAATGGTTGATGGATATGAGTAGTTGAACACCACTCACATAGACCAGTAGTGCTTCCTAGGCAGTAAGATTGAAATGATCTAAACGCCAGACGGTTGTCTTGCTAGTTGACGGCAGAGCTCGACAATAGTATATGAGGTATGGCTCAGTTCACATCAAGCGAATTAGATATTTCAAATTTGCTCCGGATTTGCAATTTACAGAATTCAAGGTGAAACTTCACCACAGCTTCCTTCAGAAGCATTTATACCCGCTTGTTTCGATTGTAATATAAGTGGGTTATCAAAAAGATCACACATATTGTGATCCGAATAATTTCAAGTCCCAAAGGAAACTGGTTTAGAGTAAAGTATAGAGACCAAAGCGTACGACCATCAGAATAACTTTGAACAACCAAACAGATGAGACCATAGTAAAAATGTGCAAATATGGATGAAGTATACGAACGACGTTACACATGTCAGCCAGAACTAGTGTTTCAGTATTGTCAGAATAATCTGCCAATAGGAAGGAGTAGAAACATGTATATATGAAGGAGTAATGAATTCACAGAGGTATGTAGCTGCTGCTGATGAACACAGACAGTCTTCGTCACTCGGCTAGATCCACAATACAATCATCTAGATGAATTCATGTACCGAAATTAATTTGGACTAACACTAAGACTGCAATGACTGACTGGTTTCAATACAGAACTTTTCACAGAGGTATATCAATTCAAGTGGCTACAATCCAGGGAGTACATTAAGGTAGACAAAGGAGAGCACAAATATATTCAAAAGGATAATTATAAGCAAAAATGTGAGGGATTAAGAACAGTAACATGGAAAAACAACAGGGTTTAACGGATATGGCGGATCACAAAAAGTAAATGCATCGGCGCCACTGAAAACGACTTCGAGCCCTACCACCGATTATCTCCAGTCATTAGTTCCTAGAATCCCAAGGATCCAAACCAGATAGTAGTCTACACCTCCACACATGGTCCAAAATAACTGTCTACGATTCTAAGGGTGATACTAAGCGTTGGTTTGACTACCATTAGCTCTTCCCCCAACCTGATCCTATACGTCAGCTAAAATTGCTCATCAAGGCAGGCGACGGCTAGGACACACGTAACATATGCCCTAACCATCTCAATCGATGTACCTTCACAACTTCATCGATTAGCTTTCTCTCCTTACCTAACACTTGACGCCCAACCTCAATATTACTCACCTAACACGGGAGATGGAACGCAGACACCTATGATCAAAGACAGCTAGTCTTTTTCATGCCTTCCACTTTCAATGCCCATATCACAGCCCCAAAAGGAGGACGGAGAGAACTGATGTGCAGCATACACGTCTTTTCATCGATAGCCAGATATCATGTCTCGGACAAAGATGATGTAAGTCGGCAAATACTACATGAACCTTTTGTATCCGAGTTGAGGCTTCGTTAGCAATTAACCCGTAGGACTTACACAACTTAACAAATAAATAAAGTCGTAAACACGCTCCACCAATTCACTTCAATGAGGAACTGAGAGACATCCTTGGAACATATAAGAGATCGCTACTTTATATAACTAGTTCTTACTTTGATTTCTATTAAGAATATTTTTTGAATTATGCGTTTTACTATGTGCTCTTAGTTCGCTTAGGTTGATATTTCTTACTGCAACCAAAAAGTTGTAATGAAGTTCTACCACAAACTGTGTGAGTTGTAAACTGTGAGTTTGATTCCACACCCATTGCGATTTGTTCTATTTGATGAATAGATACATAAAGTAACTTTCTCAGAAATGTCAAGTAAAAGCTACTGAAGAAAAAGAAATGTGAGAAGAGGTGTACGATTCTACGGAGAACCTGACAATTGACAGAAAATTAATAAAAAGTCATCTATAATACAGAATGTTTGATAGTACTTGCAAATAGTGAAATTAATGCCATTGTGGTGAGAGCTGTCTGCTAGCCAAAATTGGTAGACAGCAATTTACGTCGATGTTTACGTCCCGAATCAGGGTCATGAGAAAAAAGCAACAAACGAAGACCAACTCAACAACCAATCACAGCAGACTTTGCGTGGGCGGGTGCGATTCGCAGATATATGGTCTGGCCACCAAAGAAACAGCCACAAAGAGATGACAGAATAACTTCCAGTGAGAAAGCAACCAATGAGAAGATGCTGTTTCTCTGCCAATAATGACGAATACTAATGTACATAAAAATATATGAATAGCTCTTGATTTCCTCAATAAACTATCTGTTGCCTGGCCCTTGTCTACTGTCGTTACACTATATTTATAGTTTTGTTAATTTTCATAATATATGGTTTCAATCCATAGAATTTGTCTTATCAGTCATGTTCTCTCCATAATCACCTTGAAATACTAAGTCACTCCTAACTACAACAAAAAATAGAAAGTAACCACCATAATTTTTGAATTCTCATAGTTGGCTGTATATCTAAGAGGCACAAAAACACTGGAGATTTAACTCATTGGTTTAAATATCTCCTCCCCCAGCTAATTTTTCATCTAGTGTTGCTCTATGCATGCATTCGATTAATTTCGAGTTAGATCACGACCTGACTTTAGTTAGAAAACTACTAAAAAAACAGGAAATACTCTACACCTATTTCGTTCTAGTATCAGACTCTCCAATAGGATGTACCCTTGATCCCAACAAGAATGAAACCAGCAACCTTCAAGTAACGAGGACAACCCAATGACCATCTAGCCACTGGGATGGAATCCTATGACCATTCCATGAATTTTTACTTCAGTCCATTCGAGACTTAAAGGCCGATATCATCAGAGAATATCTGTCTTAACATTCAACATGGTGGACACCCCATTAGTCACAACTTCTCACGCTAGAACTCTAGGAGATTTCATCGTGTACTGAGTCACTAATGAGCTTTGGATTAACTTTCAAGTTTTGATTTGCAAGAGTTTGACTGCCTATTAATGGGTTCTCTAAATGATGTCAATCTGTGGCTCAACGCTTGAAATCAATTTTATCCAGTCCAGTATTGAAATTCAACTCTGTTTATTTTAACCACAGTGATATACAAATATAAATATAAAAGCGTCTATTAGATCCCTGAGTTTCATCAATACTGTTGTTGCTAAGTAAAATCTAATTTTAAAAATATGCAAAATGCTCGAGGTTATAAAACTTGTAGTGACCCATTTTATGAATCACCATCGTAGTATACTTTCAATATGTAACTGGACTTCGATATGTTTATCACTCTAAAGATTGCATTATAACAGTTGATGCAGTGCATTCGCTCAACTTTTGAACTTTGACTACTGTGAGAAAACACGTTTGTACTCACTCTCAAGTGACTTTTGATTTATGTTGTGGATGTCGAGTAAGCACAACGTTAGGACACAATAATAAACGCGAAGAAGTACCAGTGTGGTGAAAGCAGTCTGCTAGCCAAAATTGGTAGACAGCAATTTACGTCAGTGTTTGCGTCCCAAATAGGGATCGTGAGAAAAAACAAGAACAAAGACTAACCTTGAGGAACTCAACAACCAATCACAGCAGACTCAGCGTGGGCGGATACGATTAGCAGATATACCACCAGAATGTTTAAGAAAAGGTAACAAAGAGATGACAGCATAACTTTCAGCAGGAAAACAACCATTCAGAAGACGCTGTTTCTTTGCTAACAATAACGAATAATAATGTACATAAAAATGTATAAATATCTTTTGATTTTCTCAATAAACTATCTGTTGCCTGGCTCTTCTGTCGTTACACCAGGATATACGCGTACAGTAGTTTGGTCAAATCGAGAAAGGCAACAAATTCAAACTTCATAAATGAACAACAAAGCAAGTGAAAAATGAAAATATCAGGAAAAAGAAACATGTTCACACATTTGTCACTTACGAGGAACACGTATCTAATTTATGATTTGTACATGTTGATTGGAATTTTACAGGTGGAGGAGGATTGTAATTAGTCAATGAATGTAATCCATTACTAATAGGAGTTAATTTATTAGCCCATCGACGACGTATTTCATTCTCTTCAATTTCAGCTTCATCAATTTGTAATAATAATTCTCTCATAGCAGAACATAGTACATTGTCATGAGTAGAATCTAAAGAATTATAGAAATATATATATATATATATACAAGGCAGTATATTTAGAATTTCTGAGAAATGAGGAGAGCGTCATACAAAAACTTGCAGAATTTTCAAGTAGTCGTATATAAGACATTTTCTATAGTTGGTTTGTAAGGATTAGTTTTGTTTTTACAAATTGATCACGGATTGATATCAGTTAGAGAACCATTGAAAACCAGCAGGGCGTACTGGACAGGTGTTTCGTCCTAGTTTAGGAGTCATCATCAGTACGCACCCACTGAGGTTCAAATCGGGTCCTAATGGCTGAATGACATACGAGCTTGCCTTGTAACTGGAAGGTCCTGGGTTGGAACCCCGGTGGATGCGTAATGCTGATGATTCCCAAACTAGTGGAATGAAAGAGCTGTCCAGTATGCCCTGCTGGTTTTCAATGGTTCTCTAACTGATATCAATCCGTGATCAACACATACGAAAACAAAACTAATCCTTACAAGCCAACTTTAGAAAATTATACTGATGCTAGCTAGTGAGTGAATTGCTACAGGATGGAGTTTCCTGGAGTTCTACTGAGAAGTCGTGACCAGTGAGGTCCATCCAGTCAAGTGTGAGGATGGATGTCCCACCTACAACATTGATTGGGGCCGCGCAACATCACGAGTTGGTAGGAGTTAGAATTCATGGGCTGGTCATTAAATAGGGTCCCAGTGGCTGAATGGTAACTGGAAGGTCCTGGGTTCGAACTCTGGTGGTGGGTGCGTACTACCGATGATTCCCAAACTAGGATGAAACAGCTGTCCAATACTCCCTGGTTTTCAATGATTATCTAACTGATATCAATCCGTGGTCAAACTCGCATAAGCAAATTCTTTATTAGATATGTTTATTAGATATAAGTGCGTTGGTGGCATAGGTGTTAGGATGCTCGCCGACCATACACATGGTCCGGGGTTCGATCCCCGGCCACCGACTCACTCCTTTACCTCGCTAAGCCAGAAATAATGCTGGTAAAGAGGAAAGGTTGGGCATGAGGCTAGCAACCCCATCCTGTAAAAATAAACACTGCTACAGAAACTTTAAGCCACTAGCTTGAAGCCCTATGTTCCACTGGGAACGTGAAGGAAAGAAATTAGATATAACAAACGGTGATACAGTATCAGTGACATTTCGAGCTCAATTGTTCAACTTCTTAGTTCGCTTTACATGGCTTTACACTCTCTCTCTCTCTCTTCTTTTTTTTAATGCCAGCTTTTATATACATTCTGAAGAGGTGTTGCGTCATTTCTACTGCATGTTTTCGTCATTTTCTCTATAAAAACAACTATTTGGTAAAAACACTCTTTCTCCATGTAATTATATCACTCTCTAATATTTTACCCTATCTCACCTTATTGAGTGATTATATGCAAGTGAATATATTACAATGACTAGGCTTTATTCGAGATTGAATATGAACTCAGCTCTCTCGAACAGATCTTCCATGTACCAGTCTTGCCTTGTGACCTGAACGTCCTAGGTTCTATTCCCTATTGAGTTCAGTTGTGTCTCAGTGCTAAAATGCTCAATAACCACGCACGCGGTCTGAGGTTCGACTCCTGGTCGATGCACTCCTTAACCTTACTCAATTTACTAACTGACAGTAGGCCTGGAAAAAGGGAAGGTTGTACATAACGCCCTGGTCAGCTAAACCAATAAAAACCAGACAGCTACTGAAACTATAAAAGCCTCAAGCTAGAAGTCCCGCGTTCCACTGGAATTCAAGGGATGAAAAAAGAAGAAAAAATTATGAGGAATAAAAAAAGTGAATTACATGATTCTTTTGTATTGATATCAGGTTGGCTAGATGAAATTCTACTGTGATGATTATTGACAGATGTGTATACGGGTCGCTGTAAATTCTCTTCCTAAATAAAAAAAGAATTGAAATGAAAAACAAACAGAAAGAGTAAGGTTATTTATTAAAAATTATTTGAAGTTCCAGTTGATTGCTTTTATTGGGGCGAAATGTTCAGTCTCTGTCAACACGTCGTAATGGGGTATGGACACTTCAATGACACCTTGAGATTAACTTGACGTTGTTCAACTCATGGTATAGTGAGAGCTGTCTACAAGACAAAATTGTAGACAACGATTGACTTTAATGTTTACGACCCAAATCGGGGTCCTGAGAAAAGACAAGAACAAAGCCTAACCTTGAGGAACTCAACAAACAATCACAGCAAACTTAGCGTGGGCGGATACTATTCGCAGATATAACACCGGAATTTCCAAGAATGATAGCATAACTTTCAGCAGGAAAACAACCATTCAGAAGACGTTGCTTCTCCACTAACGATCACGAATAATAATATGTATAAAACTCTATAAATTTCTGTTGATTTTCTCAATAAACGATCTGTTGCCTGGCCCTTGTCTTCTGCCGCTACAATGGTAGCTGACAACGAAATCCAGATCGAGAGTTTTGTCTAATCTAGATCTCAGATGTGTATGCCTGCATATCCCAATGAGTTATGATGTTACCATCAAGACTGGAAGACAGAACCCATCGTTTCAGATGCCAAATACCAACAAATCAACTTCGATGAATAATTACAGTGTAGGTAGTAGGAACAAAAACAGTCGGTAAGAAATTCAAAATAATTTTGTTAAATAACAAGTAAGTGAGGTTACACAACAGGCGGTTTTCATGGATCAATGCTTTAGTACTCGAAATGATGGGCATTAGGTTCGAGTCTCAATGGCACAATTGCATCCACCTGATACTGAATCCGACCACTAGCCACCATTTAACCACATAACATAAAGAATGTGAATATTTTCAGCAATTATATCGCCTAAGATGGAACAACCATTCAGAACAACAAAACATCTAACAGTTCTTCCCCTCCAATACACTTCATTTTCTTTCGATTTACCTGCTTATTTCATTTCCGGTGAAGATCAGTCTTAAAACCAATTACGTAAACACCAACTAAACAACTTATCTTCATTATAGTGTTTTTCATTACTACACATACTTATTGTTTTGTCAAAATGCAGGCATAGTTCATTAACTATAGCATTCAATTACCAAATAACGTGCTTTGAATTTAAACCTTACTTCCCCACGGTTCAGTCTGAGGGCAATGCAAAACTATTATAAGCCCTGAGATGGATAAGTGTGGCTCATAGCCATCCAAATAAACAAATATCATGTCTCTGAATCATACAATATTCTTTGACGTATCTATCAAAATATACCAATAGTAAACCACCCAATATCACTATCATATATATTATAAGTTAGTAATACTACAGAGATGTTTTGTATGAAGTCAGAAAGCGACAGGAGATATTAATTTTAAAAAAAACTTGAATATATTTATATTTACAAAACAAACTTTGAAGTAAAATCATTAATTGATTCTGAAGCATGAGAAACTCCTGTTATTACTAAAAACGAGGGTAAACTAGAAACATTCCACCTTTCTATACGTGGAAATCGATTGCAAGATACACGACAGTAGAATGGTATCACACATTGGTCCTAACACCTAAATACTCTGTTTGGTATTGTATTGTCAACAGTCAGTGGACACGATCTTTCTGTTGATATTTCCCTATATGGTTAAAAGTGGAGTTTTATTAACTCCCATAACATGACAAAGTATGTCTCCACAAAAGTAAAAAGGTCAATACGAATGTTCGGTGTTTATCACTAAGTTTGTTAAATAGAAAAAATCAGTCTATTGAATCTGGAAAATTTTTATCTTAAACCAACAGTTTATATCAGAAATACGATTCGAAATGAATGAATGAATGAATGAGATATGTACCATTTCATAGTTTCACATGTCCAAATAGTCTACATTGGAAAGTGTATAAAGACAATTAACTTAATAAGCTTAAGGACAAGCCATAACAGAGTATAGTTAGTTGATGGACATTCTAAGTTAGTGAAAGCGCTACCAAAGCATTTACACTTTATAGAATATCTAAGTCAGCCGCCACAACTTATGTGACTCAGTAGTCTAATGGATATCACTTTGAAGTTTGAAATGAAGAGTTCTGGCTTCAAGTCTTGTTGGTAACACCACCACTCATTTTGAATGCAAGTGCATCCAGCTGGCAGAACGAAATGTGCACCCTGGACCACACTGCAAGCCACGACCAAACAAGTCACCTTTTTCCTTTCACTACCTTACATTCCAAGTGGGACATAGGGTCTCAAGCTTCAGCTATAAAGTTTCAGTTGCAGTGGTGTTGTTGAACTAGGTGGAGTTGCCAGAGAAAATGCCCAATCTTCCCCGTTTTCTGTGCTTTCCATCGGCTAGTAGACTAGATGATGCTTACGAGTGCATCAGCTGGGGATCGAACATCGGACCAGGTGTGTGACTGAAGAGCATTCTATAAGTGAACCACCAACACGGCTATGAAATACATCTATTGAATAAAGACCGGTGATATTTCCACTTTCCACATATTAAAGCAAGCGTAGCAAGATTAAAACCTGAAGCCCAGTGGTTAAAAGTTGAATGTTTAAGCTGATAGGTCATATTGATAGTGTACTTTAGACTACAGTTTCATATTTGCTGACATTCGTCACTAAACCAAAACAGTTTCTACCTTCCTAACTTATAAGATACCAAGTTGAATCATTTAAAACCCCAAATATAAAAGCTACTACTATTGCAGTGCCTAGATAGCAGTCAATGAACAAATTTTACAGAAACAAAAAGGAAGCTACAAAGATCAATTAGTAAAGTTTGTGTAATCCCATCATAAAGTAAATCTAATTCATAAAACCACCCAGTTTTGATTGTACACTAATCAGTAACTAGTGTAATGCGTCTAGTCTTTTGTTTGGTACAGAGTGAATTCTATCAGTCAAGTTTGCAATGTGACATGAGTTCCTTCAAGGTTGCAGATACGCCTTGCTGATGAGTGCCAACTAGCACAAAACCTAGGTCCAAGACTTCCTGCCAACTGCCTCCAACCATCTAATATCAAAATTATCCAGTGAGACCGTATTATTTACTGATGACGTCTCGAGTACAATTTATTGCTTACAATTATGTCAAAGCGATTTATATATGTCTCAATAATACAAACCCTAATGACAATACTCTTATCAAATATTATCAAAGGTAGAAATCTGAAGAAAGTCATCTCCAACACTTACTTAGATAGCGTCATCCCAACTATAGACAGCACGAAGATCAGGGTATTAAAGGTAGGATTGGAAAAGTACAACAGACCTTCATTAGTCTGAAATCAGTGTGAAAATCCGCTAAATTCAGTAAAAGGAAGAAAATTCCAATTCTTTCCAACATTAATATCAAATTACAGGATTTTCATCATGAGCTGACATTAGTTAGAGAACCATTGGAAAACCTGGGAGTACTGGTTAGCTGTTTCGTCCTAGTCTGAGACTCTTCAGCAGTACGCACCCACCGGGGTTCCTACCCAGGACCCTCTGGTTACAAGGCGAGCTCGTAACCTCGTAGACCATTAAGCCACTGGGACCCGATCCAATGGCCTGTGAGTTCTAACTTCTGCCAATTAATATCAAACCAGAGACTTGACATGTGCATCACAGAAAGCATTTCCAACACGCTGTAGACTCATCAACAGCTACATTGTCGCTGACTTGATACTGAAGATCAGATGAATAAAAAGGATAAGCAACAAGTAACTTTAAAAGACAACGAATCAGCCAACAATCTGTTAACCAACAGGAGGCTGTTGAATGACATCATGCGCCGGGTTATCGAGTGAAACATTAATGGGAAACGATGAGTTGGGCGTCCGAGAGTGACATAAAGGAGATCGCGTGAGGAAGAAATGAAAGCTTATGAGCAGTCGTGGATTCAGCTAAAAATGACTCCAGAGAACAAGGTGAAGTGTGTATGAGCTGTTGAAGCCCTATTTTCTGCCCGGAATCCAAGCGAATGATGATAACACAAACTGAAGTAAACAACCCTGAGATAATTTATTTAAAAAGCCCAAAGATTATACACACAGACAACATAAACGACGAAAATATTCAAACTTTACCCTGAATGTGTCTGATTTATCCGGTTGAAGGATGACAACATCAGAGCGATTTAAATTAAGCGAATCAACAGCTTCCTTCCAAAGAGAATGAATTTTAGAGTCATAATGATTGTCAACATCTGATGAAATAAGATTTGAAGAGACTGAATAGTGATCGTCTTTTGATTTTCTACCATTAAATGAAGTCGATCTTTGTAATTTACTTGGATACTTTGTATTAGACGACGCATGAACTGAACGAGGACGCAGAATTACCGGTTTTGTACGTATAATTGAACCTGATACTGATGATGATTTCGGTCTATTTATAGACCGCTTTACTGGAGGTTTTTTCACAATTTCACTGTGTTTTATGGATTCGCGAGGTGAAGCTTTGTCCAATAAATAATTTTGTTGAAGTTCTTCCAATGCAGCTGAATACTGAGACATTTTGGCTTGTAATTGACGTATTCTAGATTCCTGGAAATAGATTAAGACAGTAGAAGCCAACAGCATTAACGAACAGTCGGAGTAGCAACCTAAGAGCAACTATAAAATGATTTCAGTTCATTTAATGCTGAACAACCTATTCGTTTGTTATAGCTAAACAAATTTATTTGAAGCTCAAGTTAGATCATGAAATGACTTCGGTTGGAAAATCACTGAGAACTAGAGAGTTCTAAGACAACTGTTTCGTCCTTTTTTGGAACTCTCAGCACCACACCCATAACCCAAAAGGGGATAGAACCCAAAACCCTCAGGTTACCAGGCGAACCCGCTGACCATCTAGTCTTTCGGATAGAATCTAATGGCAGTACATGAATCCCAACTCCCTCCGACTTGTGTCATATAGCACCACTGCCAATCAATGTTATCGGCGAGCATCAGGCTTCCTATCCAACTTGGCGGACTATGATGGTCACAATTTCCCACAAGAACATCAGGCAAATTCATTCTGAAGTCAGAAACTAGGGAGCACTAATGGTTCGCTAACTGAAGTCAGTTCGTGATCAATCTTCAAATCAATTCAATCTCTGATAACCAGCACTTAAAAATTAGTCTAGTGTTCGCTAATAACTGACTGACAACAAGATGAATTCCCTTGAAGTTCTGATGGGAAGTCACGACCACCAGAGTCAACCAAATTTGGTATGAGGATAAATACCCGTCAATGGGCATTGACTGGGGTGCAGGTGCTGTATATCACAAATTGACAGAAGTCAGAATTCATGGAATGAACAGTAGATTTCGTCCGAGACTCAATGGTGTGACAGCTCGCCTAGTAACCTAAAGGCAGTGGGTTCTATCCCCTTTGAGACCATGGATACATAGTACTGACGAGCCTCAACCAAGGACGAAACAACTATCCAGTACCCCATAGTTTTCTAACTGAAGTCAGTTTGTGACCTATCTTTATCTTATTTGAGATAGCTAAGTTTATTTATATCATATGAATTTGTTCTATTACCTTTAGTATTTCACTGTCACAGGAATTTGAAATATACCCCCTTTTGTGTATACCGGTGATAACCTGAACTCCAGATGACTAACACACCTGTCTAATGCATGTTATTCAGACTAGGTGTAAAAAAATATTCATAGATTACTTGTGATAGCAATGTTTTACTACTTTTTTTTTCATTTAAAATTGCTTTCTAAGGCAATTATATGTTTGTGAAAAAAGAGCTTTGACATTTGAGTGTAAACACCACATTACGACCAGGCCTGTAACACCACTGACCCTAGATTTCATCAGGAACGAATTGTTGAAGATATCATCAAGACAAGGCGTGAAATTTCAGCGATTAAATATATATCAAAGGTCAGAGACACAAATAAACAATTTCTAGTTCTATGTATAGTTCATGCTTTGGCATTACGAGATTACTAGCGATTGGTAATATGGAAAAACGGAAGGTATTATCTCTTTCCCTTTCTTCCCCTAATAGATCTCGAACTTATCTCCATCTAAATCCTACAAATATTAATAGTAAATACATTTTATTCCTTTTTACTTCTTTACATACATATTTTGTTTGTTCTTCGCCACACATACGCACATTTTTCATTTCACTTCGACGAGCTTATGTGAAGTGTGATAACTTGGACCAAAAACTAGTCATGCTGGAATTTTGTGCCATAAATTAAGCACCGAAATATCTTTGAAAGACTCTTCATACTGGTCAGTTAATCTCAAGTCAGCTCAATGCTGCTCCGCGGCTCTTCAAAGCCATAAAAGAACCACCTACCATATCTGACATAATTAGCTTGAAACCTAACCGATTAGGTGTAGTTGTAATGAATAAATATGATTATGAAACTAGATTTTTACAAATTCTTAACGATAAAATCAAATTCATGCGGAGATATGTCATCTCATAATATTATAAAATTAGGGGTAAAATTAACATCTTATTAACCAGTCAACGGGAATCTCACGACGAGGTCTTATTAGCACTCATCAGCAGAGTGCATCAACAACCTCATAAAAACTGATTTCCCTTCAGGAAATCGAACTGGCATCACTCTGTGCTGAAAGCAAAGGCGTTACCACTACGCTATTTGAGTTGACCAACACCTAGTATGGTAAAACCTCGTAACATAAATGGTAATAATAACAATAATAAACTTTAATTCAGGCTCGGTGGGAACATCATCACTCACTGGGAAATGCAGGTAGTACATCCAGCTAACGAGTTCCAAATAGGACGAAATGCGCATCCTGGATTCCACTGATAGTCATCATCCACAAATTAAATAACAAACTTTCTAATTATTTACCATTGCTCAACAGTTAACCATCACAAAACAAATACTTACTTGAGAATTTCTTAATTGTCTTTCTGTTGGTTCATGAAGAGCACGTCTACGACTTGGAGTCCAGCTGTCTGTATCTCTTATTGGTGGAGAATCACTACGTGCTGGCATTTTATTTTCACATGTTCGTTGTTGTATAGTATCAGCTGTAGAATTACATATTATACGTGGAGAATCATCTTTTAAAGCTGATATTCTGGGTGTACTTAAAATCGGTTTACATTTTCGTCGTAAGTTTCTATTAACCTGTTAAAAGTTTAATGAGAATAATAAAGGTAGGTATTGCATAATTTTGCTAAAATTATTTCTTATAATGAAAACTGGTTGTTTAGCATAGATGATGACTGAGTGACTGGGAAGAAATTAGGGCTGAGATATGGTCGTTGAAAGTACATAGTATGAAGAGGTCAGTTGTTTTTGACGGTAGGTGTTTGCCATCTACTTCACATGTTAAATGGTATAATATGGTCAATAATACTGGAGTTTGACGTTAAGAGTTAGACAAGGAGGGAAAGTCGATCGATAAAGTTGTGAAGTTACATCGGCTGAGGTGGAAAGGATACGTGTTATGTATCCCAAGCCATCACCTTCCTTCTCGAACAGTGTTAGCCAACACAAGACTAGGTTGGAGAAGAGTTAGAAGTGGTGAAACTAAAATATGTTACCAATCCATGAATTCTCTAACTGTTGATTTGAGTCACGTAGTTTGGGGTTCACTGTCTGTTTAGAGTTTTCGAGATGCTAGCAATCAATGGTTGGAGAATACTGCTTATATGGCTCAAAACCGTTCGGAGTGGTACTTTTACTCGTTGTGATACCCGATATCCATTCCATTTTCTTTATTCCCAATGTACTTGCTGTCTGTCGGATACATTTCCGTCTGTTATAGCTTGTCTTTTTTGCATTTCCATTCTCTTTTTCTCTAACTTTGTGTGTTTTATGAAGTGTGGCGACTTGGACTGCTGCACTTTCGTGTAAAGTCTTATTTTTAAATTTGTTTAGTTTCCATATATTGGACAGCTAATTACTAGTGAAGAATAAATTTCCCTAAATACAGCAAGGCTAAATTTGCGGAATAAGACAGCCATATATTTTTATAGTTACTTCCCACTTACAAATATCCCAAAAAGTAATTCAATTACGATAAAGTAGTATATAATCAAACTTCTGCCATGATATTATAAAATGTAAGAACTTTTGTAAAATATATAAACACCCAAATAGTTTTTCTTCTGCCAGCTTTAGTCAATAACAGAATATGCTCTAGACATTTGATTTTGGATATTAGAAGTTTAATGACCAGAAACTATGGACCTAGGCTTCATGTGTGTCCGTACTCATCTGCGACCATTGAAGAAATTCATGTTTTCTTCGCCTTCCAAGTCTTCATAAGTCAGTAGTGAAGTCAGAGGATTCCCTATAAATTGACTAAAGGTATGAAGGACACTGTAGGAGTGGATTATAGATGCAAATCTGTTGAAAAACGGTAACCTAATTAGAGATCGCAATCTATCGATTAAATGTTGATTGACTGAACTAAAATATTTCGGCTCCTAGAATGGAGGCTGAAATGGTGTCTGAGGATTAGCACTGGTGTTATTTGGTAGATATTGACTAGCGGTAAAGTTGAGGATGCGCACTTCATCCTGTTTGGGGCTTGTCACCTGAATGTACCTACAATCCCCAGTGAGTGATGGTTTTCCAATTGGAACTAAAACCCACTACCCTTCGTTTCACATACCAAAGCGTTATCCACTATACCCGAGTCAAAAATTGACTTAAACGAAATAATAATTTATCCCCATTGTACAAGAGGTGCCTATCGTGGTTTAGGGGATAACGCTTTGGTGTTTGAAATGAAGACCACTAAGTTAGACTCTCAGTGTGAAAACACTGGGGACTGCAGGTACATCCGAATGACGAGTCCAAATAGGTGAAAATGAGCTCTAGTCACCATCCACCATACATACATCACGTAGCTTCAGGTCCTTGTGGGAAATTCGCAGAGCCTTTACTAGAATCACCAGAGATATATTCACCTCCTTATATACATCTCTGGTCAGGTCAAGACTGGAAAACTGCATCCAAGGCGCTACTCCTTGTCTAAAAAGGGACTCATTCTAGAAAGGGTTCAAAGGAAGGCAACTCGTATGTTTCACGGCATAGCTAACTTATCATACGAGGAAAGACTAGACAGTTTAAATCTCTTCTCCGTGTCATACTGTAGGCAGAGAGGAGATTTAATCACAATGTTTAAAATTTTAAATAATGACTACGGACCTGACCTATTCTGTCTTTTCCTTCCCACCAGGTTGGAACACCTTAGAGGACATAGCAGGAGAGTTCAAAAGCCAGGAAGAAATCATATTGCTGTTGAGTACTGGTTCTCACGCCGAGTCATAAACTCTTGGAACCGACTCTCAGAAGAAGTGGTGTCTGCAACCTCAACTGATTCGTTCAAGAAGGGTTTGGATAACCACAGAAATTTACTAGAAAAGGATTAACATAGGCTCCAAGCCTTCTATCCTCAACCAATAAATCTTAAATCTGAAAAATCTGAAATCCGTTTAAGGGAATAATCAGTTTTCGTAACAAAAAGTGTTTTGTAGATATGTGTACTCTAAAAACTGATCTCGACATACACAATAATCATCTTGTGAAACAATTTCGTTTCCCATCATTTGAGGCTTTGATAGATCTAGCTTGACTCATCAATTGAGTATAGAGTTAACTGTAGAAAATATTAAATAAGAATAAGCAATATTGGATAATTATGTGTGAATTATAGTTTTCGTCTATCTTCCAATAACATTATACAAAACTGAGCATATTCGCTGTTATAACAGCTTACAGACAAAATATTACATAGAAAAATAGTGTTGATTAAAATGTGCATTACTTTGGTTAAACTTTGGTCAAACTGGTCGTCTACTGAGAGTGAAATAGGTTTCACGTTATAATTTTGAGCTGCATCATAGATTGATGCATTATCTTCATAATCATTAGATGATAAACACTTAACATCACGTTTGGCAATATGAACAGCTAAAAGCAACCGGTCACGATCAATATATTGAAATCCAGTTGATCCTTTCATTTTTTAAGATAATTACTCTCTCTATATTCATCTGGTGACATCTGAAAGGTAAATACAAGATAAATATCACATTTGCAGACAAGCTATCACACATTCATGTTGAATACAATTATGAAAATTCCTGGAAAACGATAACAATAAAAACATGTGACTGACTGACTGTCTAATCAACGTAAAACTTAGTCAAGTTGAAACACTTTCAAAAAAAACACACAAGACAGAGGAATAGAAGCAGAAAGTTACCATAATAGAAAAAAGCGGGCCTGGTAAACAGTATATGAAAGATGACAAGTACTACATACATCTGCACCAATTTAGACAATTTCAAGCCATTTTATCAAGATCCTCTAACCACTGATTCTCAGCATCCCGAAGAACTCAACCCGGTAATCCGCACCCCTACAGACGTTTCTGTTTAAATGCTTGTGGGAGATGTTATCACATAACATATACCGCTGGGATTCGACGTAGAGCATTGGATAAGCACGGTAGGTTAACTGATGACACAATAAACCTCAATTGACTTAAGTGATTGGATATGTGCTATGTATACTAAGCCACCAACTTTCTGAACAAGCAATAATGACTTAAGTAGGATTAGGCTATCGGATAAGTTTATCTGATATCACACAATGATACAGCATTAAAAACTGCATGGCATTTCGAGCACAGTTTATCGCTCAAAGCAATATATTATGAGCAATACGTTGTTCTCGAAACGTTATCCCGCTTTTTTTTACTGCATCGTTGTGGAATTACATTCTATCACATTGCCCAACTCCTGCACTTACACTAGGACTGAGCTTATGAAAAACTACGTTACTAATGCATGGAATCGCTAACTGTCAATATGAGCCATGTAGGAAGATATACGTCAGTTTACTGGGTTCCTAGAAGTGTTAAGCAGCAGTGTTTGAAGATATTAGATGGTGTAGCTTAAATTCATCGACAATGGTAAAGACGTATTGACAGCTTCCAATCACCCACAAAGTTCTAAGTATTTTCACTAAGTTTCATTTAATTAATTTCTCTCTAGTTACACAGGTTCCGGTTGGCATTAGTTTTTTAGTGTGCTATTTAGAGATGTACCACCCTGAAATAATGAGTAGTTTAACAAGTATCTATACTAACATGCTGTTGCCTGGAACTAAAGTGACAGTTTATTTAGAAAAAGAAAAGCCTACACTGTTAACTGTCCTCTATCCTATTAAAGTCGTGCGTATATTCTAAAATAAAAATGTAGAATACAAGAAATAATGCACCATCTCAAAATTTAGCCAGAGTAAAGTAACATCTATAAACGCTAGCAAAGCTAGCGTGTACTGTGCATTTAAAGGTAATGTGAGTGGTACATGAAAAAAAACTAAAACTCCATACAAACCAATCAGTAATCAAATTTCAGTAGAGGAATTTACTCCTTGTTTGATGTTTATCATATGACAAAAGACATCTACACTTTAATCACCCCAGTACTCAAGTAAAATATTGAAGTAATTGAGTTAGATGTGTGACTACTGAATCGAAAAACCCTCCTAAGAAAATCAAACGGACTAGTACTCAGTATCTCTCTTTCAATATGGATTCAGAAACATTAGGCATACTTAATGATCATCATGAAACTGAGAAGAAATTCAAGGCCTTTACCCTGTGTCGATATCCGGAAAATCCTTCAAAGTGAATCACGACCTAAAACTGATACCGATAAAATATAAATAACTCATCCAGAAGAAAAACCATACGACTACGGAAGTATCGGCACATAAACAAATTATAAAATCTGAAAGGACAACCTTGGATTTAAAGTAAAAACCGTCCACCAGCTTTTGACTGGCGGACTGATGTCATATATGCGTAAAACTAAAGACTCAATACTCGCCGTAAACCCCCCATTACTCCTGGGAACAACAAACAGAAATAATGAGAATATAGAATTTATGTGGGGATATACACTTAAGTGTGAAAAATAAATTTTAACCCGAAATTTATTTAGTATGTAGCACTGTTACTACCGGTTATCTTAATGTTTATTGAAAATGAACTGCAGTAGATATGATGGAGTTGTGCTTTTCGCAAAACAGTAAGACGTAATCATCAAGAGTAAGGGCTAAATAACTATAGCTACTCTGATTGGCAGCTTGAATCTCACTGATCTAATGTTACGGAAGTTATAACCTTATACCTGCAATATTATTCAGAAATGAAAAAGATGTAGTGGCTTTTGAACTAACACTGAATAAGATGAATGAAATGCCACCCAACAACCACTTGCATTTATACACAGTGAACGCGTCACATACATTGTGACGGATTATGATATTACCTCGCTTTCCGAACCCCCCAAATATGCTGCGTAATTAGAAAACGATAATACAATATGTGAAATTTGAGCTCCTAGACAAATAAGGAACAAATTAACTGTGAGTAACACCTATCCTACGATACTGCTCAAAGATAATAAAAGATGATTATTGGCTTGCAAGATCGTTTGAAGCAAGAGGATCAAACCCATACTTTTGAGTAGAAACTAATAACACGTATTGGAAAACCCCAATTATTTATGTTGATTAAAATCCATAAAAAGTCTGTGGAAATGTGACTTATTGGCTTAACCGGTCGACTTTCAGACAGTAGGTGGCTGGTCCGACGACTACTCCACTTACTGAAGCATGGGTAGCAGCACTGACCGTCAAAAATTGATTGTATGGCCCATGGCTTCGTATATAAAATAGATGTTCCCAGTAACTGAGTTCAAAGAAACAGGATGTTTGTAAATACATTCACACAGTTCAATCGTAGGCATCCTCACAAAAACACACTGTTAACAACATAGAGTTCGCGTGATTCAAAAGAAAACCAAAGACAGGGTTAACCGGTATATTTGTAATTAATACAGAAAAAAGTGGAATAGTGTCAACATGATGTGGACTCTATTTACAAGTCTTTGTACAGAAAAACCGCTTCCGGTAGGAAATCAGCACCAACCTTTTGAAGCTTCTGAGATAACTCATGTTTGATATGTTCACTTTTAGTCCTAAGATTATTAATTATTGACTTAAGTTTTCTGCATTCATCTTCCAAAACAAAATCGTAGTCGCCGTCATCTCCATTTTTTAATTTCTTCTCTTCTTCATTCACAATATTGTATCGAAAATGATAAAGTTGCAAGGTAGGGTCATCGGAGGAATTTACACAGGTTAAATGTTCCATCAAATAAAACAGTTCTTTGTGTATATCTACAAGAAGATTTTCGGTGGGAATATCAGTCTCACACTCTGGATTCTTGGATAGGCTTAACTGCATATCATTTAGAAAAGGATACTTCGTAATGAAATTGTCAATAGAAAAATGAAGGTTGGAAATTAGTTCATTAAATTTACCAACACAGGCATGTACTTCATCATCTGAAGGTGGATGAGATGAGTCAACTGAGTGGGCATCTATAACACTGCAAGTCCACTGCCAAAATGTGTGACTCACTTCCTTCCATGATAAGACTGTACGTACTTTCGAGATACAATCTTGAGTATTTTGGATGTACTCACGTAGAGCATCTGGATTCCGCAAGACCCAGCAATTTGATGGAGAGACGAATTCAGGCTTTTCTCCTGAAAAGTTGAGGAAGGCGTTCATTGTTTCACTTTTTAAATGAAATAAATGCTTCATCTGGATTTTAAGACGCCCAATTAACCAAATTAATCGGGGTAGTGATGAATCATCTTCGGAAGAATCACCAACTTCCACTGCGGTTGGTTCACAAAGATTTTTTCCTAACAATTTCCCAACATCAGACATCAGCTTCTTTTCAACTTGAGACAGAATAGCACACGAAACAAGAATCCATATAGAACCTAGAAACAGAGTTCTTGAGGTTTTAATCTCTTGATTATGTACAGTAATTAGTGGAAAATTACATTTGAACAAGTTTTTCGAGACGAATTTGTGAATTTCTATGTCGGAAAATCTTTCGAAACCTTCAGCACACAAACTATCGACACATCCATATTTAGAAAAATATACGAGCTCAAATGCGAGGCGCAGCATCGAAGGAATAGCATCTGGGTGATCATACTTTGCGAGTCTAATATTCTCAGGTGACACATCAGAGAACCCAGCAGACTTTAGAAGCTTCACAAAAAGTTGGATGCAATATTTTATTTCGACTGAACCGCCCATTAAGTAGTGTAACCATGACAATATCCAACATCGTTTTTACGAGCTAGTATAAACCAATTTGATTTCTCTGTGCTCGCTTCTTGATTGTAAGGTATAGGTTCCTGATTTTCGGTAAACTTCTGCCTAGCTCGTCCCGCCACTCAACTGTGTTTTGTAGTATGAGATGTGTTGAGACTGTTACTACTGTGAATGGGGTTGATCCTTTCGCCAGTTGGTCCTCCGGTATCGTCAACAAGAGAAAAGAGATATTAATAATAATAATGCTAATAATATGTATAATTAGTTAAGTTATTGAGACTAAGAGACAGAAACGGAAATAGGAAAGCGTAACAACAGTCAGCTGATTAAGTTTGAAGAATGATATATGTATATACATATACATATATATCGGCAATAATAATAGTAATAATATCAATAAGTTGTCAGGAGAGTAAGACGGGAGAGAATGTAAAGAAGTGAAACGACGAGTTTAATTGTCTACCCTGAATGGTGTATGCGATTTAAAGTGGATAGGCCTTTTGGATGCAGTCCTTGTGTCGCTGCACGGTTTGTAGTACCCCTATACCAACCGTAAACATGCTTTTTAATCTAATTTGTATACTTGCATTATATGTGTATACAGACCGATTTTATATATACTTCGCAAATACTTGTCCATTCACTGTTGAATATTACCTTGACACAATTTCGAATTTGACTACTGCTTCAATACATATTCGTAATCTTCGCAAGTGCCTTTTGATTTACGTTGTGGGCGTCGAGTAGCCACAACGTCTGCGCACATCAATAAGAACGAAGAAATACATAGAATATATGTGTACAGCAGTTTAGTCAGACAACGCACGCAACAAAATTGGTGAGCCCGACGTAATTTCGACAGCGACGACAAATTGGTGTCCTTGACGATAACTGGTTCACCCCGACGACGAATTGTTGACCCCAACGACAAATTTCGACCCTGACGACAAATTGTCCATCGCGACGACAACTTTTTCACCTCGACGATAACTTGTTGACTCCAACGACATTTTGTTCACCCGGACGCATCATTACACTTGCTGGATTATTTAAACTCTAACTTTATCGGATATATATACATATAATAGACATTTCGAGCTCATTCTTGTGCTTTCTCATCGCACAACTTGCAGTAATCTGTGGTAAGCACCTGCATTGCATGTTTTTCTGTTTTACCATATTCTTGGTGTGCATAATTTTTGCTATTTTGTTACTGTTAAACCATTTTTCTACGAATTGTATCATGTCTTCCAATACCTCTGATAACTTAGAGCTGGGATCTGTTAGTACCATTTCTCTTACTGTACCAGTTTTTAGGCCCAGAGACCCTCATCTTTGGTTTGCACGACTGGAAAATTATTTCACTGCCAATAAGCTCACGTCACAGACGGCTAAATTTGGCATATTGAGTACAGTACTACCAGACGAAATCGCCGAACAGGTTCGACAATGCATAGTTCAGCCCAGCACAGACGCTCCTTACGACAAGTTGAAAGAAGAAGTACTTCGATGCACTTCACTTTCTGATAGGCAAGCACTCGATCGTTTGTTAAGCAATGTAGAGCTAGGTGATAAAACCCCATCACAACTCATGAGGCACATGCAAAGCCTAGTAGCAGGAAGAGATATCGACAAACGTCTCTTTTACCAAATTTGGTTGCGACGACTTCCTGCAAACATTCAACAAGTTCTTGCTTACGGAGACGACGACATTGACATATAAAAGCTTGCCAAAATCGCAGATCGCATGTACGAGAGGTCAACACCTCAATCTGTTGCTTCCACCAGCAGAATGCCAGACACTGACGACAGGATACAGGCTCTAGAACACAAAGTCGACACCTTACTGAGTCAGTTAGCAGCACTGACCACACACACACGACCAAGCCGTTCTAGAAGCTCGTCTCGTCGACGTCTTTCTCGATCACCCAGCACGTCACGACATCACGATACTATTTGCTGGTACCACCGTAGTTACGGAGGTAATGCACGACGGTGTCGTTCACCTTGCAACTTTCAGGCTAAACCAAAAGATATATCGTCATGTATGAAAACTTCTACTGTTGGCAATCTACGATCTAGCAGTCGTTTGTTTTATGTAACAGATAGAAATACCGGTACTACGTTCTTAGTCGACACAGGAGCAGAGGTTAGTGTTCTCCCTCCGACTACGCAGGAACGTCAACATCCTGACCCTGCAGTTACGCTCCAAGCCGTTAATAAGTCTAATATTGTTACATATGGTAGTAAACGAATGACTTTAGATTTTGGTCTGCAGAATACCTACATTGGTCTTTCATCATCGCAGACGTTCCATCCCCAATCCTTGGTATAGATTTTCTACAGCAACACAAACTGCTAGTTGATCCGGTTAGCCCTAAGCTTATAGACTCGCTCAATAAAAGGTACATCGCTGGTACGATTAGCCGTGCATCATCGCTGAACTTGATGGTCACACGCACACCAGCATCTCCATATACTGACTTAGTAAATCAGTTCCCTGACCTTCTACAACCCTCTTTCCGAGCAACAGAACTAAAGCATCAAGTGGTTCATCACATTAAAACCACTGGACCACCAGTTTTTGCACGTCCTCGACGCCTTGACCCACATCGACTTAAAATCGCAAAAACAGAGTTCGATAAAATGTTAGAGCTCGGCATTATTCGACCATCCAACAGCTCTTGGTCTTCACCGCTGCACATGGTACCCAAAAAGTCTTCTGGTGAGATACGGCCATGCGGGGATTATCGAGCTTTAAACAAGCAAACGGTACCTGATCGATACCCCATACCGCATATTCACGATTTCGCCAGCAACTTGCCAGAGGTTAAAATTTTCTCCAAAATCGACCTTGTCAGAGCGTACCATCATATTCCCATCCACCCGGATGACGTTCCAAAAACTGCTATCACCACGCCATTCGGCTTATACGAATTCGTGCGCATGCCTTTCGGGCTGATGAACGCCGCTCAGACATTTCAACGTCTCATCGACCAAGTACTCCGCGGCCTGCCCTTCGTCTACGCATACATTGACGACTTACTAATTGCAAGTGCAGACGAAACCGAGCATGTGAAACATGTGAGGACGGTGTTTGAAAGACTTCACAAATACGGCATGACTATCAATTTAGATAAATGCGAATTTGGTAAGAAATCACTGAAATTCCTCGGTCACTTGATTGACAATCAAGGAATTAGACCAGTCCCCGACGATGTACAAGCCATCAAAGACTATCCATTACCAGATTCTTTCAAGAAATTACGGCGATTTTTGGGTCTAGTCAATTTTTACCGGCGTTTTATCCCGAACTGTGCTAGAGTTTTGCAACCGTTGACCGACTGCTTACGTGGACATAGTCGTTCATTCCATTTGCCTGCAGAAGCTGTTAAAGCATTCGAAGCTGTTAAACAATCGTTAAATGACAAGACGCTCTTAGTCAGACGCCAGAATGACGCCCCCTGTCTCTCATGACAGATGCTTCAGATGTCGCCATTGGGGCAGTGTTACAACAGCAGGTACATGGCGAATGGCAACCCCTTGCATTCTTTTCGAAACGACTGAATCCTACTCAATGTCGATATAGCACCTTTGGTAGAGAGTTATTAGCTGTTTATTTAGCAATCAAGCACTTTCGACATATGCTGGAAGGTACACCTTTTACTGTCTTTACAGACCACAAGGCTCTAACGAAAGCCTTATCAGCAAAACAGGATAACTACTCTCCACGTGAACTACGACATCTCGAGTTTATATCCCAGTTCACCTCCGATCTGCGACACATAAAGGGTAAAAACAATGAAGTGGCAGACGCTTTATCACGTATGCACATTGATAACATTGTATGCCCAGACATCGACTACGAACATCTCTCAAACTTACAACGAGATGACGCCGAACTCAAAAAGATCATGTCTTCTAAAACAACATCTCTAAACCTCGAGGCAATTCCTTTCGGCACGACAAAAGTTATCTGCGACACCTCTACAGGTAAATATCGACCTTTCGTTCCAATAGCTATGAGACATACAGTATTCGAGAAGTTACATAACTTGTCGCATCCTGGTGTTAGCGCTACTACCAAGCTACTAAGAGAAAGATTTATCTGGCCAAACATTAACAGCGACGTTAAGAAGTGGACACGAAATTGCTTGTCTTGTCAAAGAGTCAAAATCAACCGGCACACCAAAGCACCACTTGGTCGCTTCCCTAACCCCGACTCTAGATTTGACCATGTACATGTAGACATAGTTGGTCCACTGCCTCCTTCCAATGGTTTCAACTATATTCTAACCTGCATTGACAGATTTACTCGTTGGCCAGTAGCAGTTCCATTAATCGACGTCTCAGCTGAAACGGTAGCTAAAGCTTTAGTCGAAAACTGGATAGCCAATTTTGGTGTCCCATCAATTATCACTACAGACAGAGGTGCCCAGTTTGAAAGCCGACTTTTGACCAACTAACTGAATTACTAGGCATTAAACGAATACGAACGACAGCGTATCATCCTAGTTCCAACGGTATGGTCGAACGATTTCATCGACAACTCAAAGCTGCGCTCGCTGCTTCTTTGACTCAAAACGATTGGTCAACCAAACTTCCACTAGTATTACTTGGTATACGAGCTACTATAAAGAAAGATATTGGCTGCTGTGTTTCCGAACTAGTCTATGGAACAACATTACGATTACCAGGAGAATTTTTCACCCCGGGTAACGAAGTTCCACACGATATGACTGGTTACGTGCATCAGCTAAAACGACACATGAACGAGCTAAAGATATCAATTCCACGTCAGCAGGAACGAGCGTCATACATCCCGTCACAACTGACAGATTGTACTCACGTCTTCGTCAGGAGAGAAGGTGTACAACGACCACTTCAACCCGCTTATGATGGCCCATTCAAAGTTCTAAACAGAAACGCGAAAGTTATCACGATAGAAAGATTGAATAAAACAGAAGCCATCAGTATCGACAGAGTC